GCGCTGAGCCCCGGGGCAAAGCCGATTTACCAATTAACACTGCGAACCCCCCGGCGCTCCCGTGCCAAGCCCTGCAAACCCAGCCCCGGGCGCTCCTTTCTTCACGGGGGTTTCGTTCTGCTTAAATTAACCGGCCCGAATTGGCTGTGGTTTGGTGCGGGGATTCCATAAAATACATAGTGCAGGGCCCCGAAATCCGTGGGAGTTGGTGGAATGTCCTAGAAGATCTTCTGGAAGGGGCAGGGATGAGGGGAAGAGGACAGAGGTGCTTGGGAAGTGTCACAGCCAGGTGAAAGAGTCATAGGTGGAAAGGGCACAGTCAGATGGAAGGGTCACAGGTGGAAAGGGCACAGTCAGGTGGAAGGGTGGCAGTCAGATGGAAGGGTCACAGGTGGGTGGAAGGGTCACAGGTGGGTGGAAGGGTCACAGGTGGAAGGGTGACAGCCAGGTGGAGGGGTCACAGGTGGGTGGAAGGGTCACAGACAGGTGGAAAGGGGATGGTTTGTGTGGGTAGGAAGGGTCAGGGTTTGGTGGGAAAGCACCAGGATTGGAGAAGCCACTTCTCTGTATCCAGGAATCCTAGAAAAGCCTGATTTCTCCCCTAATTGCCCTTTTCCCCCCACGCTGCAGAGATCCAGTCCCAGCTCCACATGCTGACCCCTGGCGAGGGCGGCTTCACCGTCTTCGTGGGCCTCAGCGGCTCCAGGGAGGAGCTGGGGCTGGAGGCCACCAACTACTTCATGTTCCCCGGGAACGACCTGGATGGAATGTAGGTTTGGCTTCGCCTTGGATGTGCTTGGCTGAGCGTGAGGAGATGGATTCCCGGGCAGTGACTCGGGGAGCTGTGCCCCAGCTCAGCCCTTCCCTCTCCTGCAGCATGCAGCGCTACCTGGCTTCATCCAGAGAGGAAGCTGCCAACAACATCCCCTTGCTCTTTGTCACCTCGCCGTCAGCCAAGGACCCCACCTGGGAAATGAGGCACCCAGGTGAGGCTGACACTGACCACAAACGCTTTTGAGGGGTTTCAAAACTCCTGTTGGGGTTTGGTGATCCCAAACAAGGAGCTTCCACTCAGCCATCCATGGGCAAAGCTGCTGAGTACGGGGCTCATGGAATGCATCTGGATGAAGGACACGGAACCCCAAAGATCTGGGGACATCCCCTGGGTTTGGGGCAGTGACAGGGTGGGATGAGGGTGGGCAAGGGACAAGCACCCCAGCCTTGTCCTCCTGCAGGTAAATCCACGCTGGCCATCGTCACCTTCGCCAGGTACGAGTGGTTCGAGGAGTGGAAGGACAAGCAGGTCCACAAGAGGGGGGATGACTACGAGGACCTGAAGAAGACTTTTGTGGATGCCATCATGCAGACTGTCTACAAGCTCTACCCTCGCATCGAGGGCCGGGTGAGGAAACATGAGCTTCAGGGGTCCTAAACTCAGATTCAGGAGTCCCAAACTTGGGGTTCAGGGGTCCTAAACACAGGGTTCAGGGTTCCCCTCTACCTACCCAATGACTGTGGAGTCATGGAATGGTTTGGGTTGGAAAAGACCTTAAAGCTCATCCAGTTCCACCCCATCATGAGCAGGGACACCTTCCACCAGACCAGCTTGCTCCAGTCCCCATCCAACCTGGGCAGACCTGGGTGACCATCCCAGGATGACCACCCTGTCCCTGTCCCTGTCCCCCACAGATCGAGTACCTCTCGGGTGGCACTCCCCTCACCAACCAGCACTACATTGCCAGTCCCCACGGCGAGTTCTACGGCGCTGACCACGGCATCCCGCGGCTGCAGGCCGAGGCCATTGCCACCGTGCGGGCGGACACGGCCGTGCCCAACCTCTACCTGACNCTCCTGTTACACAAACCATTCTGCTGCTCTTCACCCCAAAACCCCCAAATACCAAACCCCCAAATTCCCCACAGCTGTGTGGGAGCTCCCCTCTTCGTGTTACACAACCCGTTCCCACCCTCTTCGTGTTACACAACCCATTTTCCAGCTTTTCACCCCAAAACCCTCTGGGTGCAGGACACCAAGGCCCCTGTGTGGTTGCCAGCATGGGGAGTGTCACCTCAGGACATTTCTTGCTGGAAAACTTCTTGTGGTGAGACAAAGTCCAGCTCTGCGTGTCCCTGAATCTCCAGGATTGATTATTTACAGCAGAGATGGACAGCAAAGTGTAACAAAACTCAGAATTACCAGATAAAATCACTGTGGTCAGTGCCATTCACCCCAGCTTGGAGGCAGGTGTATCCCAGATTTTCCCTTTTCCTTCCACAGGGAGCTGGTGGGGTGGGGATGGATAAATGAGAGGTGGGTTTAGTGTGTCCTAGGGCAGGAAAATGAAAGAAAAAAGAGGTGAAAATAAAGGCAAACAAGAGGAAAATAAAGAAAAAAAAAAGAGGAAAATAAAGGAAAAAATATCTGTTTTAGGGATCCACTATGTGGGGCAGATGCAGGAGGGCTCCCTGATGCGGTTCCTGGTGGACCAGCTGACAGATGGGCAGCTGGAGTGGGCCCCACTGCCGGCCACCTACGATGCCGTGGTTCTGGGGGACCCCCAGGGCTCTGGCAAGACCTTCCACATCCACTCTGGGAAGAGGGAATATTTCCAGAGGCTGAAGGAGCAGTTCCCCGGGGAGGCCGCGGCCATCGACGAGTTCCAGCGGTTGGTGAAGGTGGGGTGACACCAGGGGAGCCCGGGTCTGGGGGCCACACAACGAGGGGAGCATGATGGCATCACCCCAAAAGCGCTGGCAAACACACCAGTCTCAAAATCGGGCAAAATCGCTTCTTTCTGCCTCAAAAATGCAGCATCACGGATGTTTTGGGGGAGATTTCTTTAAAGAAGAAGTTCTTTAAGGAGTTGGGGCAGAGGTCTTTGAGGAAGCTTTTCTCAAGGACCATTTTTTTGGGGAAGTTTTTGGGGAGGAGCTCTCTGGAGGAGTTTCAATGGGGAAGCTTTTTGGCATAAGGTTCTCTTGAAGGAGGTTTTTGAGGGAAGGTTTTTGAGGGAGCCAGTACTCACTCCCCTTGCCCAGAGCTGCCCAGCAGTGAATTTAAGGGGAAAAACTGCTTTGCAGCAGTTAGCAGTGTGTCTGAGCCCCTGTTTCTCCCTGCAGAGCGCCGGCCGTGGGGTTGTGCTGCTGGGCATGCTGAAGATGCTCCCCAGGTTCCTGGCCAAGCTCCTCATCTGCTCCAGGCTGCTCCCACGGCTCTGCTCCTTCTCCCAGCTGGCCTCACGCAGCCTCAAGGAGGTGGTGGATGGTCTCACGCCCAACCCCGAGCTCCGGGCTGTCCTCAGCTACATCTTCCCCACCTATGGTAGGTGACCAGGAGGCCCTGGGGTGACGTTAAACCCTTTAGAAACAGGAGAAAGGTAAGAACCCCCTTTTTTGGAAGGTTTGCATGAATATTCTGGTGGATGCTTCACCAGCATCCTCGTCCCCAAGTCACTGTCAGGTGACACATCCCCATTGCTCATCTCCATCTCTTTCCTTCTGCATTCCTCATCTCCCCCACGGGCTGACATCATTCCTGTAGATGGGGATGTACAAAGTGTTCCTCATCCTAAAACATTTAGGATAAGCTCCAAGCCCGTGATTTGCCCACTCCTTTTCCAGGCGTGCTCCCCTCCAAGGCCAGCTTCTCCATGCACAGCATCCTGGTGAACCATTTCCTGCACGGCGCCTGGTACCCCAAGGGCGGCGCGGGGGAAATCGCCTTCCACACCATCCCCGTGATCCGCAGCGCCGGAGGAAACGTCTTTGGGAAGGCGCCGGTGCAGAGGATCCTGCTGGACGCGCAGGGCAGA